GGGAGTGATTAACTTATCAGTCTAGGAGCAGAGGACCCTGGGACCATCAATGGAGAAGAGCAAAGAGCAGAATCCTACCCAGAGAGGCAGTGAGGCCTGAGATGGAGGCAGGGAAAATGACGTCAAGAGATGGTGGGGCTGGGGATTCGGGATCAGGAGATGGAAAGAGGCTGAGGACTGTGGTGGTGGGGGGTGCAGGCTTACAGGGTATACCCCTTGGTTGGGTGAGGATGCATGGACGGGAGGGTAACTATGTCAATGAAATGATGGATGATGGAATGAGTGTAAAGCTGATGTTCTCCCATGTAGACTATCACACAATTCACAATAAAACATTTTAAAAAATAAATAAAAATTTAAAAAATGACATCTTAATAAAATAATCATGAATTTTTAATTTTTAACTTACCAAATTATATATTCATTAAAAGGGAACTTCCCCCCAAAATAAATAAATAAATAAAATAAAATGACAGGGCAATAAAGGCATGAAGTGACTGGCTTACAAGTTTTCAAGAGGGAGCTTAGCTTAAGAGTGTGTGGAGGAAGGTGGAGACACCACTGAATAGAGGATAAGATTCTTATGATCCAACAATGAGTAACTATTATCATGACTAACTGCAACTGTCACAACAGTGAAGGTAGAAGTTTTGTAACAAAAACAGGGGAGCATTTAATCTTACAGTCCAGAAACAGAGGCTCCTAGGACCATCAAGAGAGAAGAGAACAAACAGATTGCAGGACCCTATCCAGAGAAGCAGAGACACCAGAGATGGAAGCAGAGATGAAGACATGGAGAAAAGAAGACGCTGAAGACTCTGGACTCATGGAAAGAGTGGGTGCTGGCGGCCAGGAGGCAGGCTTGCAGCATGTGCCCTTTGGTTGTTTAAATTATTATATATTCCTGAGTGTTTCTGTGTATATCCCCCCTCCCCCAAAAACAACAAAACAGGGAATAGAAACAAATACTGTTGAATGATGATGCACAGAGGAGATTGTAATCATTTTAACGAAACGATGGTGTAAAGCCGATGTTCTCCCATGTAAACTATCATCT